CAACTGTCTTAATTAAGCTGGATGTATGATGTTCTGATATTTTTAAGGATCTCAGTCAGCTGCTCTGCCTTTGGCTTTGATTTTTTCCCCAAAAATCTTTAATGCAAAATAACTGATTTATCTGCAAATAGGAGTGTTACTCATTCTGAATGCATGAAATATTTAGAGAGGATTCTAGCAAAATGTTCTACTCTCAACATTGACTTGACTTAATGTTCTTCTAATTAACAGGTTGTTTTTTGACATAACGTAGTGCTGTCTCTCTGATAGAAATACGGGAGATCATGGCATAAATCCAGACAAAATATTCTGTTGAAGATGCACAACATGGAGAGAAACTGTTATGAGTCAAAGAACATTGGAAAACAAAGGGAAGTTTGTAACTTACTTTTCTGACACCTTCTTCCAGTGTGGCCTTCGGCACAGGAGCACACGTTGGTTCGAATGCAGTGACCACCGTTCTTGCAAGGGGGAGTGCAAACAGCTAGTGAAAGGAAAAGTTTCATGCACAGAAATCACACAGGGGATCAACGTTGCTTACATACAGGCTCCTTATCTAGGTGTCTGTGTTGGGAGACCAGTCTGCAGAGGCTTTTTCTTTGGTCAGGGTAGGGAAGGTATCTCTCCAAAGGGTGATCTGGGTAGATGCCTAGCTGGAGATCCTGATTCCCTCTTGTTTGTGGAAAGAATGTGGGACATGAGTCCTAGCAACTAAGGGTCTCTTTTAGACACCTGCAGTTAAGTGGCATAGTTGAAATATAGATCAGTGTTTGATATTTACTAACTTTGTTCTGGCACTATTATTTTCCCCTTCCTCAATGAAGCAGGAGGAAGGTCTTTGCTTTTCTTCAGCGTCCATCTACTCTCTTCCCATATCACTTCCATACTCCACAAATGTGGATATTTATTTTCAAGTTTTAGTTCTGTCTAAACCATAACACTTAAGAATAAAAATTCCAAATCACCTACATGTGGAAAAGCACCTTCTATGTTGAATGGCAAGAAAAAGATCATCGAATTAACAAGTCTGTACCATTTTCACTCTCTCCTTCAAGCCCAACATCACAAAAACAAAGAGCTTCCAGCAAGCTCCATTTGCAATTAGATTTTTGTGTGTGAGTCATTCACTTGCAAAAATATGCATTGGGATTGCATTCATCTAGGAACTCCAGGGAAACAAAAGAGAGCGAGCAAGAGAAAAGAGCTTTTAATATTGAAATAGTTTGGGTTTGTAATAAGTGTATTTATATTCCCAAACTCAGGAGGGGTTATTAGATCCATGCTCAAAAAAGTGAAAAGCAAGTGGTATAAGCACAGGGGTCTTCCAGCTATTTGAGCTCTAAACATAAGTTTCTGTCTTGCGTCTGTTCTGTCTGGGCTAATGGGTAGTTAAAGTATGCATTAATTTGACTTTTGCACCACAAAGTGAGCAAGAAGCTCAGGATACTGTTGGCCTTAGTTTAGCACTCTCCCCTTTAGGAGAGGGATTCAAAATCAGGTCCTGCTCTATGTCAGGCAGAGTGATATTTGATCAGATCATTGAGCAGGGGTCTGAGGAAGTGCTATACAAGTCTCCCATCCACTAGACTCTAGGATGGTCAAGTAGGTGATATTGTGAGCCCCATGTGAAGATAAATTATCATCTGGCTCTGAAAAACAGGATAGTACACACTACAGAGTATGCAAAATGAAAAAAGTGGAGCCATACTTTAACATTTAATTGAATAGTTGCCAATTAGTGATATCACTGATTTCAGATAGTTTTAGATTAATTGTTTAGTTATCATTAATGCTGTCATAAATAAGTGCTTACTCCTTCACAATACCATTAAGAACAACATAATGCGGATTTATAACAGACTGTAACGTCAAAGGAGAGCACAGGGAGTTATGACAAGGAAAATCTCTGGATATACTTCATGTGGGGGCAGGTAATACCATAGACCAGTGTTTATATTTTAAGCCTGGATCCTTTATCAAGATGATAAATAGAACTTTCTTACCTCGCTGGCACTGTGGCCCATAGAAACCGTGAGGACATGAGCACATATTTGGCCGTATGCAGATTCCTCCATTCAGGCACACAGGATTGCACACGGCTGTATGGGAATGTCAGATAACTTTATGAATCTCTTATAATTTTGACTTTTCTAGAGTAGGTACACTTGTGCTGCTGCACATGACATTAGAATAAGCATTTCTGGTAATATTGTGATAAATTTCATACAATCCTTGTTGGTCAGTTGTGCTGTGGCATTTATTCATTGTCAACACAGTGGGAGCATTTCGGTGGTGTTTTAGCATAGCTTGGGGGATGAAATAAAATATAATTTGATCGTTATTTCTGATGCCTTCCTTTGATCTGCACAGTTCTGTTGCTTCCACTTTAGTATCCTCACCAACCCTGATCCCAAGGTGGTAAAATGTAAATTGCATTGGATAACCTGGAGATGAGATATTAACCATTTGCTGCTTTGTCCGAGTTCAGCAGAAGAACATCATGGCATTTCCCTGAAGTTGAATAGGTGTGTGCCGCAAAACCTCCGTTTGTTCTGCCTCATTTAAATGCCAGTTCCCACAATGTATTGGCTCATGCATCACGAGCAAAGCCACTGCCTGAGCTCCCTCTGCCTCTTTATTTATCTGTTATTACGGTAGGTGATACAAGAGGCATTAGGAATTAAAAGCTGTCTTGCATATTTCTATGCAGCAAGTACCTGACTGTTGAAAAAAAAAAGGCATTAGAATTGCAGATTAGTTTAGTTGGGAAGTCACTGTGTGAAGAATAAGGAATCTGATAAAGTTTCCATTGTAAAGCAGAGTGACACTTTAAAACCATCTTTTCCCTTCTATTCTCTTTGTCTTTCAGTATCTTACAGAATAGCCCATTAAATAAATTAAATACATTTACGCTCAAGTAAATTAAGGGTCACTAAAATGTTTCAGATGAACTAAAGGAGAAATAAAATGTCAATTTGGAAAGAGAAAAAAAGTAAAATTGTGGTCTCAATGAGAGGCTTTTCTGACTAAGCAGCAATCACTTATGAAGTCAAAATGGACTTTATTCATTTCTAATGGGGAATTTGGGTTAGTTACCTCATTGTCCTGGCTAGTTCACAAATGTTCGCACATTGTCAGTGTTTATATTTACATTGGTGAAGTCCCCTAAGTCCCTTTTTTTTTTTCTTTTCTTTTTCTTTCTATATCTATGTTCATCCAGAGGCACAGCACTCAAGTCAGGAAACTCCAGCAGTATCCACAAAATACTCCATGTAGTGCACACAAAACAGCGCTGGAGAGGTGAGCCTGATAGCCTCTCACCAAAGGCACTGGCAGACAGAAACATCCTGCTGCTGTTCTGGGTTGGAAATTACTGCTTCTGCTGCTGTGGCTTGTCCTACTCTTGGAATAATCCTGTTTAAAGCCACCGCAAAATAAATTTGCAGATCTCAAGGAGAGTAATCTCAGGCAGGAAAAAGAGGAGAGAGTGGGAACCAGAATAACTAGTGGCAGCCCCAGTCATTTACTGTGGATCTTAACTAAGTTAATTTATGTGTCCTCAGTGGGTCTGGCATTTCAACACTGGAAGAGCAATCTCAGTGAGATGGAGGTTAAAATGACATCTCTCACCTTCTAGGAAAGGTAAGGGAGGCTGAAGGTATCTCAGTCATTTAATATTCACAGTGGCAGAGGCAGAGTGCCTCTGTAGCCTTGAGGTTTGGCACTGATTAAGGTACTCCTCCTTCTTGCTCCTTTTACTATTTCACTATTTTGCATGCCCAGGTGCGTGCTGTGGTTACTGTGCCTTTGGAGGAAAATACGTACTCCAGCTTTCAGCTGTCTGCTCTGAGAGAAAGGTCTGAGCTGGATCTATTCAAAACAGGGTTCAAAACTATAAGTCTGGACTAGAAATGGGTACCTAGTTCCAGTCCTCACCCTGTCATTTTGTACGGAGAGGTGGAGGTGGCTTTTCCCTGAGCGTGCATGCTTCTGTGGATGCCTTTGTAGGTACTCTGCAGGTATGGAACACAGGAGGAGGAGCAGTGTGAATTCTGGCAGCAGCAGGATGGTTAACATCGGGGGTGAATGGTTACAGTCTCCTTTGTGAACTGGCTCTTGTTTATTCTCCTACAGTCACAAGCCATCTTCTGAAGTGGTGAAACTGAATCCAGGAACTGGACCACAAAAACCTGAGCAGCCAGTCTCAGTTTCTGAACCCTTCTATGTTCACTTTTCTTCCTTCGACTGTGCAGGATCAGAAGTGCATCTGTAGTTGCTGACCTAGCACCAGAAGCCACGTTTGCTTGTCCTAACTTAAACTGGCCTCCTTCTATCCCTGTCTCCATTATCTGTACTTTTAAGTTCAGATTTCGCTGTATCCTGTTAAAAATCGTCAAAAGCCAAACCTTTGTTCCTTCTGCCCCACCTCCATACCTTGACAGAAATGCGTAGGGTTAAAAGCAATGGAAACTGGAAGTTGCACAGATCATGAGCATCGCTGATGGTTGCATTGCCCTCATCTGCAGGGCGTGGGGCAGGGCTTGTGATTTGGGCTCTCCATGGACAAGACCAACAACAAGTGAGGTTATGTCCATGGCAGCTGAGACTGTAAATCAACAGATCTCCAAAGTCTCCACTGAGAATTCTCATTTTCAGAAGCTACCAAGCACTTAGAAAGGCTGTAACTTCTGAAATGCTGCATAGTTTCATTTTCAGTTTTGTGTGTGCTGAGAAGAAATTCCAGAATCACATGAGCTTAAAATAGCTGCAAAAAGGTTTTGTTTGTAGGTTTACTCTATGTGACCCTGGGATTTAGATAAGCATCTAAACTTATGAATACTTACATAAACCCAAAGCCTTCCAGGGTTCTACCCTTCACTAGGTCTCCTGTTCTTACATTTTAATACTTTAAGCAATTCCCTCTCCAACCACTGAATTGCAGGAATCACTTGGATTTCAGGCAGCAAACGAAATGAGCCCACTCATTTCTAACCACTTACCTGTTTCGCAAGAAGGGCTGCTCCATCCATTTCTGCATTTGCACTCATCCGGTGACACGCAGACCCCACCGTTGTGACAGTGTCTGTTACACACCACTGGGAAATACACAAAGAGTCAAAATCTCTTACCGGTAACACTGATGCAGATCCTAAAGCTGCTCTATTGCAGCAAATAACTAATAGTATTAGTCCAAGAGGAAAACTGAGGGATAACTCTGTCTCTTTCCTTGGTTTTCCTTCTCTTTTCTACCCATTCTTTCCATCAGAAGTCTCATATCTAAAATTCTTTGCTTTTTAGGTATTCCAGCTACCCTGGTTCAGAGAGAAAATTATATTCCTGTCAAGGGCAACCTGATATTTAAATAAGCAGCAAGGAGTGTAATATGAAGCTGCATACGTTTCACTATTCAGCTAATACAGAAGGGTTTGAAGGCTGATTTTTTCCCTAGATGTTCTATAGATTGAACCTCTTTTGTAACTTGCATTGCACAATAACCTGACTCCTAATAGGTATGGTTGTCCTTTTGTGTTCTAAAATTAGCATTGCTGCATTCGCTTACACAGCCTTGAATTTCATAAGTGTTACTATAAATAACATGAAGGTTTTTACTTGTTTGTTTGTTTTTTCCAGAAGCACTTTGTATTTAGAAAATGTTGATATAGATATTTTTACACAATACGACTATGCTGCTGGTAAATACATGCTCTGGAATAGTTTAGCTACTTTATTACTTCTATATGTTATACTTGGATTTCCTTGCTGTATTAAATCATCATTTTAAGGAGAAATATGGAAAAATAAAAAGATTTTTTTTGTCTTCTAATTTTATGCAAATTCAATCATGCAATGAGGAGAAAAGCCTGAATGAGTTCACACATACTTGTTTCACATCGAGGACCAACAAATCCATAAGCACAAGAGCAAGTATTTTGAGACAGACAAGTTCCTCCGTTCGCACATGGTGGATCACACTGCGCTGCAAGTATAAAAATGAGAAAAAAAAAATACCATTCAAATATGCATGCACATTTTTAAGTATGTATTTTTGAAGTCTAAGGATGGATCAAGTAGAAATGTAGTTAATACTGTGTCCAGGTGTGAAGCCCTCAGTACAAGAAAGACATAGAGATTTTGGAGAGGGTCCAGAGGAGGGCCACGAAGACGATCAGGGGGCTGGAGCACCTCCCCTATGAGGACAGGCTGAGGGAGTTAGGCTTGTTCAGCCTGGGGAAGAGAAGGCTGCGGGGTGACCTCATTGCAGCCTTTCAATACCTGAAGGGAATCTACACCCAGGAAGGGAGTAAACTCTTTGAAAGGGCCGACAATAGCAGGACTAGGGGAAATGGATACAAGTTGAAGGAGGGAAGATTTAGGTTGGATGTTAGGGGGAAGTTCTTTACTAGGAGAGTGGTTAGGCCCTGGAACAGGCTGCCCAGGGAGGTTGTGGATGCCCCGTCCTTGGAGGTGTTCAAGGCCAGGTTGGACGGGGCCCTGGGCAACCTGATCTAGTAAATGTGTATGTTTGGTGGCCCTGCCAGGCAGGGGGGTTGGAACTACATGATCCTTGAGGTCCCTTCCAACCCGGGTCATTCTATGATTCTATGATTCTATGACTTTGCTCATCCCTCTATAAATGTCCCCTGTGGATGTTCAGTAAGCCTTAACAGGTGTCACAAGACTAGAGCAGAGATGAAGGGTTTCTTCTCTATAGAAAAGAGTTGTATGGGAATTTGTCAGCAAAATGACAAACATTTAAGCAACAATTTAAATGTTTAATAAGTACTGTGAGGTCTGCAGACAAAGCACTTGACATATTGCAACATGCAATGTCGTTCTGTGGAAGAAAGAGGATGAGCTGGTGTATTGCATAAAGCTGGGAAGTACTGCAGCTCCTGAAATAGGTTATTTGCAGTAGACCCTTCTTTGTTTTTTAAATATCGACCATTATGAGCCTAATGGCTTCATTGTGCAGGCAGCCTGGAAGGTTTAGCTTCTTAAACCTGACATCTAAGGACATCAGCTGTCATGAATACTTCTACTTGTAGCCCTCCAGTAAAAGGCAGTTTTGTACATCAAATGCCAGACAGAAGGAGAGAAGACCACTGAAGGTAGAAGATGACCACTGACATTCTAAAAAAAAGAAGTGCTGTGTGCAGGAGCAGGGCAAGGCATGTGTGTCAGCTGGCTCTCATGTCTTTGGAAAAAAAAGCCACCTCATATAACAGAATGAAAAATATCTTTCCTTGGGCTTGGGAAGTGAATACAAAGAAAAATGTTGTACTTTGGCACGCTGTACTGGCAGAGTTTTGTCTTTTATAATGGATCCGAAGCTGAGCAAGGTTGTTCCAAGGAAAATGCAAAACGAAGCTGAAGTGGTATGAAACAAAGCATCTTTCATTTTAAGTATTGTTACCCTAATGCACCACATTTTGTTCTTAAAACTGGAAAATGGACTGCGTAATTGGAAAGCTACATGAAGGACAAATACTTGTGGCACCAGACAGTTTAAAGAAAGCTCATGCACTAGGTCCTTCTAACCACAGACGATATCACTAAGTCTTCAGTTGTAGTTATTGTATATGAACTTTGCCATCCAAAAAAGTTGTGAAAGCCACCACACATTTTCCAATTGCAGTTAAGAAGACAAGCGCCCAGAAAGTACCGTTAAATAAACAATTTGGACACAAATAGCATTAAGAAATATATTTGGTATTAGACCTGCTCTTCAGGTACTTCAGTATTTACATTTCCTGTTACCAGACTGTTTTAACAGTGAAATTTTCAATGCTGCATTAAAATAACTTTAGAATTTGAAATGCCTGAGAACAGAAAACTTGCTAGAAATAGTTTAGATCCATACTATACATGCTGAGAATGTCATTAAGCTAAATTTAGTTTTGATTTGATAGGCTATAAGGTTTAAAGATTTGCAATTCAGCATGTGTTTAGCTGAAATTTGAGGAGTACATCTGGGAGAAAATAAGAATTAAAAAAAAAATTGACATTGTCTGGGCAACTGAATAGATCTGATTTAGACCCATTTAAGCAGCTAGTGTTAAACTTTCCCAAAGTTTTTCTAATCCAGCCACCAGCAGCAGTTTTTGGAGCAGGTCAGAGGCTCAGGAAGGTCGAGGTCTCGGGCTATTAGGGTGAATAGCAGGTAGCAGTCTGTGATGAAATGGAAAGTGGAAGAAAGTGAAAGAAATTTAGGATGTTTTCCAAGAAATTTGTTATTCTTTTGAAATTGCAGTACTACAGTTATAAACGACCCATGTTTCCATCTCACTGGAGCCCATGGCAGGTGCAGGGCTCTGAAAGGAGGGTGCCCACCCATCAGCTGCACACACCTCCATCTGAAATGTCTCCATTCTGCTGGGCTTGGCTGAGCACAGGACTTGCTTATAAAGGGGTTTCTTTGCAACTAGAAATTAACAGGATGTAGAATTGGATAATATTCTCTGCCTGGAGATGGAGAAACACAAAACCTGGGAAAATACACCGCTCTTTCTGAAGTACGTGAAATGTGATTGCCTTTTCTGCAGGATGATGGTTGCATAAAACCTCCAGGTGCCTGAGTGCTGTGCCAAGCACAGTGGCATTCAAACATATTTTGCTTGATTTCAGCATGTTTTGTATCTCGTACTTAAAGCAAATGTGTCCATTTGAATAGAGTACTTTCCATCTGGCCTTTACACATTTCAAGATGCATCTGAACTGTCAAAAAAGAACACGGTATTTTGGATATTAAAATGTTTAGCTCTTATGGTGACATTTAATGGTAAAATATTTAAAAGTATTCTATTACAGGTAAATAGCAAAACATAAAAACTGAACGCTGGCTGCAATGTGAAAGCAGGAGTAATATTCACCTAAAAGACATTTCCCTCCATAATAGAAACATACTGTTTGTGTCAAACTATTTTCTGAAACTTCTATCTTTCATCTTCTGGAATGAATTTTTTTTTTTTCCATAAACATTTGCTAAATTGTACAAAGGTATTGCAGTGTTTTTACACTAAGCGGTTTTAGATGGTAGAAAATGACAGGAAAGAGGAAAACATTGCTGCAAATGGTCAATCTTGCTGTCAAATGTATGTATGTTTATGTTTATAGTCTAAAATCTGGAGGTGAAAATGGAAAAGCCCATTATTGTTTTCTTTGAAAGGGCTTTTTGGGAAATATCCCAAAACTACTTTTTTCCATTAAAATGAGATCGTGCACTTTTTATAAGTTTCTGTATGATAACTTTGGGGGTACTCAGGAATACCAGATGCTGTGTTGTTTCCTCCGTTTTTGATTTAGTCTAATCAGCAGGTGGCTTCCAGGACAGAGTTATTGCTTAATATCTCAACAGCAAGAAAACTCCCTGTGCCATCCGGCGTGTGAGGTCCTGGGCACACACTGCTAAAGCCAGGCTCGGAGGGCTGAGAACATTACATGCAGTTCCATTTGAAAAATTGAAAACCAGTCAGGTCAGGACAAACTTCATTGGAAGGACCGTAGTCTGAGTTGTTTCATGCAATCATTGTACATTATTTATTTTATTTCAAAGATCCATTAATCCATTTCCTAAGTGTACAGATGAAGTTTGAATAAGTGAAGCACAAGGGAGGGGAAAAAAATAAGAAAGTTATGTTGCAGGCTAGCCAGGTTATTGTTTTTTCTTTCGAACAGCTGTGGATTGAAGCCTTTCTTTTGCAGGTAAGATACTCACATAAAAGAAACAACGCACAGGCTTAAAGTATGTCCTAGTGCTATTAAAATAACTCATATGCATATTTAAATAATCCGGCAGTCCAGAGGACAGTTATGAGATAAATATCCATCTTACCAAACAGAAAATTAACAAGATTAACGTGACTGAATCAATTGGGAATACAAGTGCACACAATGGTTCTGGTTAGGTGGTACTAATGGATTTTGTTTTGTGAAATGTCAGCTGAATGCTCATCTGTAGTCAAAAAAGCAAATGAAGTGTTAGGAATTGTTAAGAAATGAGCAGAGTACAAAATGCCAGGCTTTATTATGGTCTGTATCCATGGTGAGCTGCATCTTAAATACTGTGTTCAGGTCTGATCCCCCAGCTCAGAGAAGACATAGTAAAAGTGGAAAAGATGCAGAAAAATGTGACAGGGACAACCAAAGTTGTAGAAGAGCTTTTGTATGAAGAACAAATAAATAGATTAGGTCTTTAGGAAAGACATGACTTAGGGGGATAGGACAGAAAAGTGAAAAATCGGATGTGGCTTGGAAAGGTTGGACAGGGTAATGTTCAAAGGCATCGTTTTTGAAGCATATAACTCACTGAGGGACTCCTCTGGACAGTATCCTTTCCATTTACTGCCAGACACCTGCTTTTGGTTGTCATTTGAGATATGCTGAGTTATATTGAGAATTTTAGTCTGATATGGTAGCGCTTTCTGGGTGTAAAAATGTCATAACAGACAAATGTCAGCTACCTGATTTTTTTTGCATTGTTTCATCCAGCTGTGCATCCTTAGGTCATAATCTTTCCCAATTATGCTCTTTCCCATTATGTTGAAAATCCTGTGGTTTGAATAGTGGTTTTGTAATGTCAAGGCAATGGTGTGTTTTTAACTCTTGAGCAGAAAGCATGACTACTACCGTTCTAGACTTCCCCTTCCCTCAGAAAATACTGTGCAAAACTTGTAAAACATCCCAGAGTTTTACTGACTTAACATTTTTAGGAAAAATGTTTCTAAAGTAGCATGACTTTATCTTCCATAGGAATTCTGTGGAACTTTTATGACTACTAAAAACTGGAAATTTAATAGCCTTTAACTGTCACCTAATCCAAAATAGTTTTAAATAATTTTCTGTGTTCTACAGAACTGAGTCTGTGACTTTTTAATCATACAGTTTAGTAACCAGACACTCCCTATGAATGAACTTGGGGTTAGAGAAGTAAAAACAAGGATGACTGTGAATTGAGCTTAAATGCTTATCTTTCTTCAG